GGGAAGTTAACAGAGAAACTATGAGCCTCAAGGGTCCTTGTTACAATTAGAGCCAAGACTCAGGAATTAAAAATTCCAATTTAGAGAGTGCACATAAATTACCTCTTGTTTTAACCTGACAAAGACGTGCAGTTGTATGGAACAAAATAGGAATTGTGAAAGGTTTCCTAATGAAATTCAAAAGCAAGGTGAAACATGCTTATAGTTTTTCTATTTAATTAAGCACGTAGTCAGGTTTGCAACAAACCTTGCCTTTCCTCTTGAGTCAGTGATTAGGCTCCTCCAGGAGAAACTTCTGAAACTACAAAGCTCACCTGAATTGAAGGGAGGTTCCAAGGCTTAGTTTAGGTATGAAAGTAAGAGGTGCTCTACTTTAAGTGGTTTGAGGGTTTCCTGTGAAGCGATTTACTTAACATTCTTTTTTTTTGCATTTGCTGCTACTTAACTTACAGACAGTTTGTACTCCTTCTCCCCGTCAAAATTATATGACTTTCAGGATGCTGCCTCTCTGCATTTAATTTTTTCTCTTTTTCATATTAATATCCTAAGATATCAAGCTATCTATGTTAAGAAAACATAAATGCTCAGAAAAAATCTCTGTGTATTTGTATTTCTATTGCTCTCTCAATTTTGTTCAACCTGAGATACGAAACTGTACAAAGGAAATCCAGAAGTGTGGTAGGGTTAAAACTGAAGCTACAACCTCAGAGCTGTGCTGAAATGGCCCTGTAAGGCAAGGGAGATATTTCAGTAAGACCTTTTCAAAAGCACTGGCCTAAAAAGTTGAATTTTTTTTCATGGTTTTTAACTCTCCAAGTTTCTTTTAATTATATATTTTGAAGTTGTTTGCATTGGACTTAAGAAGGTTCATGCATTGAGTTGATTGCATTTAATAAGAATATAAAAAATTTTGTAAGACCGTGCAATAAGCCAGTATTAAAACTATAAACATTTGTTACGTTACTCTAATGTAAGCAAGTTTTGCTGATATAAGTTTCCACAGGTTAATGTATGTTGCTTTGCTTAGCTGAATATTTCTCACAAAATAGAAGTCACGATGTCACTAACATAGAGTAGTTCTATGCCAAGCAAAAATTTTAAGTTAGGTTTCTTAATCACTTAACAATTGTCTTCTTGGTTTCTACAGTTTCTGGTGTTCTCTTAATACATATTTTTGCTTCAAAGTAAGATTTGTTGATTGTGGTAGGACAAGAAGCTCAATCTATAAACTTGCAAAGTTTAAAATACTAGCTGAGACTAAATAATATAGATTATGTTTTGCATGAGAGAGTGGTTTCTTTCCTTTTTTTATTTTTTTTTTTTAACCTGTGCGCTAATGCTCTGAAGTAAGGCTTGCTCTTGAAGTAGCCTGTGAAAACTCTCTAGTTAATAGCTTTAGTAACTAAGTTTGTAAGTGAATTTGGACGTGGAGCAGAAAAAAATGTTTGTATGCCACATGTCTTGCTGACACTAATTTCTACCATCAAGAAATCATAGATTTGTATTTTTATTTGTGTGAAGAATTTAGATAAAGTCTGTTGTTAGAAATTTCAAAGCAAAATCACCTAAGCTGGGGATGCTCTGGAAACGCTTTCCTTTGCAGCTCTTAAAAAAATCAGAGATGAGGAGAGTGTGGGGAGAGCCTGTGCTGTAGCACAAGGACAGACATGATAATGCTTGTTTTGCAGAAAAGCTTTATTTAGCTTAGCAACCTCATTGCTAAATATTCCCTGTCACTTTGCAGCATAATCTGAGGAGACTAAAGCTATCTAGGAGGAGAGGGAATGTGAATGTGTGGGGCCAAGACTCATTGCTAGAGAATCTGATGAGCATGAGAGTGGAGGGCATTGAACCTTAATAATAGATTATTTAGTATCAAGCTGGTTCTTGTTGTCTTGAGTCAGTAGAAGTTTAAGCCTATTCTCACACCTTTGTTGGGTTTTGTTCATGTTGATAATGTGCAAATGAGATCCATTGTATGTGATTTTTTCCATTCAGGATTTGAGGAAGGGCTGGATTTATGTACCTGGACAGTTGGGAGGAATGTTAAATAAATATTCTTATCAGCCTGGAGTAGAGGATTGTACTAGCAATTTTCTAGGCTGTACTGACATCTGGTGGCAGTTTATATATTCATATAGTATTTAAAATATTTTTCATTCAACGGTAGGCCAGTTAATTCCATGTCTAGAATATGCCTGCTTATGTATTTTGGGCTGTTCCACATTATTTTGTGGCTTGTGTGTGGTGGCTGTTCTTTTCTCACTGTTTTGCTCTGACTCTCAGAGGCAAAAAGTTTAAAATTGTTGAAACTAATCTTTCTTTTACCTAGTTTAAAAATGTATTGACCTTGTTTTTAGGTTGTTTTTTCTGTGTCTTATAGTAATTATATGGAAAAGGAAACTTTTTTTCCCCCCCTTCAAATAATTGCAAGGCTCTGGGATAATTTTCTTTCTTTGAAGCTGAAAGGAGAGCTGAAGGAGAGCTCTGAGATCCACTTACATTTTTAGATCTTCCTCATCAGACAGAGACTCTGGGGTTCCTCTTTACATACCCTTATATATAAATGTGTGTCTCTAAAGTGGAATGTAGAATGTTTAAGATGGGGAAAAAACAGAATTTGTTGCCGTGGGTTTGAAACAATCTTAGAAGCATGCCAGGCTTTTTTTGAGAAAGTTTATGGCAAATCATTGTTGCCAGGATCACAAGGTGTTCACTGAAACTGTGTGGCCTTGCAGGAACAGGCAGGTGAGAAAGAAAACCTGGCCATTTTGAGAGAAATTGTCCTTCACGTAGGAGAACAGCAATAGTGAGAGGTTTGTTATTTTTGTGGTTACCATACAGAGATGGAGACATAGAAAGGGGGATCCACCAGACTCTAGCTAAGCTCTAAGGATGCCTGACACTGTGATTGCTCCTTCCCAAGTCCAAATCTCAATTCTAACTTCAAACTGACATGGCTGTTCCACTCTGTACTAGCTGCTTTTTGAGGGGTGGCTGATCAGTGAAGGAGGTAAGTTGAGAATATCTCCAGATGTAAAGACCACACAATCTCCAGGATTCCACTGGGCAAAGAAGGAAGAGTTTTAAATAGCTTGCAGTCTTCTCTGGGCCTGCTGCTTTTTAAGCTGTCTGTATTCAAAGGGGGGATTCAATACAAATATTTCGCCCCTTAAGTGGGTCACTGCAGGTGGGTCAAGTAAGCCTCTATGTAGGCAGGTTATCCTTCCTTGTGTGCATTAGGGATTTTGAGGAAGGTTTTGAGACAAGTTTTGAATTTTTGTAAGAGGCAATGTAAGAGGCCTTCTTATATAAAAATGCTTCATTAGTTTTACTAATGGTGTAATATTTATAATGTTCAGTGATATTTGCCCCCATTTTAATGGTGTGTATTGATGCAGAGCAGAAAAATTAGCTGTTTTAGAGAGCTATGAGTACACAGAAGGTAGCATAAAGTCAGCTCATCTTACAAGTCTGTAAGGGAGTTAGACCTTACACTATACATGATTTTCTCCCTGTTTGCAAACAGGATAATTTCTCTTTATTTTATGGTCCTCTGCTATTGGGTGATATAATTGAGTGGTTCTGGCTATAACAAGTATTCTCTGAAGTGAGCAACTTAGGCATGTTGACATCCAGTTTATAATCATTACCAGAAATTAAACTAATCTAACTTGCTACAGAGTAAGTTTTCAGTCCTTCCATTTTGTGCTTAGTTGTAAAATGAAAGCAAATTAATGATCACAATTTCTTTATAGTGTGTCATTCACTGAGCAAGTCACAGTCTCTTCTTTCCAGATGATGGCAGGGCAGTGCTTTAGTTTTGAGTTGTTAGTTTGTTGTTTGCACTGCATTCTTTTAGCAGCTGCTTCTTAGGTGAATCTCTGTACTACATTTTACAGTCATATCCTTCAAGTGTAGGAGAGTGAAGCTTAGGGAGGGAGAGCAGGTTTTAGGATCAGGTAAATAATTATGTCACTAACACCTTGCCACTTGGAGATCTGGGGTTTTTTGCAGTACTTAATCCTTTTGTAATATCTTTGCTGAGACTATGATCACTTGTGTGGCTATTGGTGCAAGTAGGGCCTTCCCTTAGATCCTTCAGGGGAAGGATTTTAACCTAGCTTTCTGCAAGGCTTGCTGGCAAATCAGCAGCTGCATTTCTTAGACACCCAGAGAAGGACATGCTTTGCAATGGGAGCTGGGCCAGGCAGGTTGCTGTATCTGGGTACCTAGACATAGATGAGGAACTGTGCCTGGCAAGTGGTAGGCATCTCTCTTGGCAAGGGACTATGATAGGTGTAGCTTCTTATTCTCCCCAAGTATGTCACCTTAGACACATCTTTGACTACATAAATATTAGTAGAAAAGAGAATGGCCACCTGAAACAATTTGGAAGTCGAAGTAGAGAAGCAGTACAAATACAATAGACCTGTGCTTAAAGTCATAATTTAATTGCTGTCATGTTCTTCTGTCATTTGTTTTGACTGTAGTTCTTTAGAATAGGAATTACTGTGTTGAGTATGAATGAAGTTCTTGCCAGAAGATTTTCTTAAATTGTTTGAAGTTATCTGGTACATCTTTCAGAAGCACATCTGAAATATATATGTAAAACTGACTTTTAAAGTCCTAAGTCACTTGGGTCATTAATTTAAATGCTAAAACTGAAGGTTATATAAGAAGTCTCAAAAGTATTTGGGATTCTGTGAGACCATAATATGTTACTTAGTTTTTATTCTGATTTTTCTTATTCGGAAACTCCAGATTCTTTTTGCTTCGTGTGTTGAGTATTTCCTTGTCACTGCATCATTTGCCTTGACAAGTTTTCTTCTCTGTGTGCTGACAGGATGTTGCCTGTTACAGCACTGGCTTTCACAATTTTCTTAGATATAAGGCCCACAGCTCCAGTACTTTATAGGCTTATTTTGAAAGCAGAATTTTTTCCTGCTATAGAAGATTTGGGGTTTTTTTTCCTTCTACTTACTTTTTAGCAAATACAGTATCAATGCTTTTTGAATTTACATAGTTGTGTGGGGTTTTTTGTATTGGGGACATACTAGGTTATTGGAAGAGGGGTCATCTTTTTTATTCCATGTTTTAAACTTGAAAGAACTGTTTTAATGGTAGAGTGTAAAGTAAGTTAATATTTTCTAAGTCAACTGTCTGATTTTAAGCCCTGAAGTTTGAATTCTACTGAAAAAGTAATTGTAAATAGCAATTTTAACCAGTGGTAATAAAAGATGTACATCAAGATGATACCATGATTGATGTTTTAAATATTAAAAAAAAATCATCATAGCTCTTACAGGATCAAAATAGGATCTGTTAGCAACAGAAATATCAGACACCTATCAGCTAAAGATTGAGAATACTGTGGTAAATCAGAGACTACCACAATATTATTTTTCAACTTTCTCTTGTAAAGGGCTAAAGTGCCTTCTGCAAATCTTACTTAATCTGCCAAACCTTGAATGAGAAATGTAAGGTCTTTTGCAGCAGTTCATGTGAGATTTTAAAACTGGCTCTGCCTCCAGGAGGACCTGGGACTAGATTACCTACTGAGATGCTTACACCTGGATTATTTTAAGATTTACTCCTTTTCCTTGCTCTGAGAGAGCAGCTCCATGACTTTATTTCTGCACTTTATGCTTTTGTTTCTCTGCTGGATTCATTGTTGAGCCCATGCCAGGCTGTTTCTTGCAGGGCTACCTGGCAATCTGATTGATGTGGCTGCTTAATTGAAGAAAGGGATTTTCCTCTTCTGTAGTATGCCCTACAAAGAGATCCAACCCACAGACTCCATTGAAACGTGAAGCAGAAGGAGTGTTTTAGGAGAAATGCATCTTCTTAGTGAAGAACTAGCATAGGTTGCTTAACTGCTGACCAGAGAGATCATTTATTGAGGACAGACAGCTCGAGAAAGAAAACTTTTAATTCTTACAATTTGTGCCGCCTTTGTAGTTCAGATTTATAGCAGACTAGAAGGTAAAGATGGTCTGTGCCTTCAGATCTTTTTCAGCTTTTGAGCCTCCCTCAGATCTCTAGGCTTCCTTATGAATGGTCAAGCAATGGACAGTTACATAGTCCCCTTCTTTCCCCTCCTGCTGCTTGCTCTTGTTTCCTGACCGAAGAGATTCCCTCCAGGCACTGACTTTTAGATATCTATCCTGAATTTTAGAAGTACTGGACTGATATGTAGGTAATGGTGGAGGAGAAAACTATATAGTTACTTTGGTCCAAATGAAGCATACTTCATGCCCACAGAGCAGCTGTTTCCTCAGAAAGCTGGCCAGTATACTGAGTTATAAATGGTGTTTGTATGATGATAAGTACTGTACTACTATTGTGGCAACCCTTCTATGGGTTATGCTCTCAGCAAAAGCTCCTCTACTTTTTTGATAGCAAATAATTTTTTTTTAAAGTACATTGCTTTGATTCTGTAACACAATTCAGGTCCCTGGCCACTTGAACATGTTTTTGGTTTGTTTTTTTTTTGCACAGGCATTGTTTTTTAAAGCAGAAACTATTTTTCTTACATTGTTCTGAAACCTGTGGAATTTTTTTTCCTCTTCTGAGGACTTTGACTTTTGTTCTACATGAGAATTTCTTTTTTCTTTTTTTCTGATTGGATTTCTCTTTTTTAAAAAAATTGGGATTTTTTTTTTCCTCTTAGAGGTGATGCCTTCAAGGAAACCAAATACTTAAAATGTTTGAGAAGAAAGTACAATCTCAAATGTACCTAGACTACTGTTAACAGCCACAAGTTAGTTAACCAAACACTTCGATTTACCAAGCTGTATCTTTAAAAGTATTCTTTACCTCACAGTATTCAAAAGTGTCCCCAAACCGTCATTCCTCTGTTAATTAAAAATAAGCTAGATAGTGTAGGCATTCTGTGAGCCAGCACTCGAAATATCACCTTTAAATCATGTTAAAAACTTACAGTCCTTTGGAAATTGCATGACAGCTCTTACTTGTAGAATGCAAAAACCATTCTTCTGCTATGTGCATTCATTAAAATGGTGAATTCTCTGTTTTCTGCAGGCACAACTTCAGGACATGAAGAGTACTTTGGAGTGAACTGGCAGTAACCCTTGCAGTACCATGGTGGCAATAACACTGTATGTCCTCTGAAGATGCTGAAGCTCAGCCTTACTTTGAACTTCTTTCTTAGACCCTCCAACTTGTTCACAAAGAACTTAACACTGATTTGGATTCATATGGTCATGGGTATGGATTTCTTCCTCCCATTACTTGACATCTGCATGTTTCCAGCAGTCAGTGATGAAGTCAGTACTAGATCTGCTGACATTTGGTCTATTCGTGGGAGCTCTGAGTGACAGGTATTGTAAACATCCTACACTCTCAGCTGTGGAAACTAAGAAAGCTGGGAGAAGGCTGTTTACTCTCCCTGCCTTGGAAATCGTCTGGAGAGCAAGGATGGAATATTATGTTGATTGTGTATCTGACAGCCTGTATTTCATGCTTTACATTATGGTGTCAGTAAACAAATTATGTCATTACATCGTATCTTCAGTGTCTAGTGTTGAGACCAAGGTCAGAAGGGCCTTGTGATATGCTTTAGCTGTACTGCTGGCTTGAGGAAAACTTAAATAGTAGCAATAATACACTGCAATACTTCCATCCTTAAGCAGTGATTAAAAAAGACCTGTCACACCATTTATTTATAGGCAGTGATGCATACAAGTTGCAGTGTGGACATCCTCAAGTTGACACATCATTATTGTATTTAATCAAAATCACTCTTAAATGGTTGGTACTTGTTTTCTAAGATCCACTCGATTCTCGTTTTCTACCCAAAAGAGCTAGAAACAGAGGTTAGAAAGCAGAAGGGTTCTAGAGGAATTCTAGAGGAATTCTAGAGGAATTCAAATTTCTGTTCCTTTTCAAAGAAAATCAGAGGTGTCAACATCAACTCCAACTCTAAATTAAATTAGAATACAGAGGTCTTATCCACTTGGTGTTCCCTACCACTTGCTCCCCAGTTTGTATTGTACTTTGTGCTTTGTCCTGGCAATCTTTCTCTTCCTCCTTGTCTTTCATTCTGTATGCTGTAAGCCAAGTAGAACTTCTCAGTTTAAATGTAGAGTAAGCTGGGAAAAAAAATTACTTTTAAATCTAATGTCCTGCTGCCATGGTCCTAAAATACTCTTAAAGTGAGTTTTGCAGCTTTTTTTAAGCAGGGACTCTGGCAGAAAGAATATTGTTTCCCTCTTTTCTGTTTTGCCCTGTTTATGGGGAAGAGACACAATTTTTGTGTGATCTTTAAGAAATTTTTCATAATATAGTTGAATTCGAAGATCACTGTCTAGTTTCTTTTGCAATAGTGTTCTTATGTAATCAGATCCTACTGCTTCAGCTTTTTAGAAAAGGCATTTAAATATAAAATGTTTTAAATAAGGGCTTTTAGAAGAGTTTAGTTTTCAGAGTTTGGAAAGGGATGGGAGTGGAAAGACAAAAGGTAAAAGAATGTGTAAGGATTTGAAGTAGTACTTGCACAAAATGGACAAAAAGGAATTCAAACTTTTATGCAGAACTTTAAAAAAGTCAGTTATTTGAAGTAATAAATTTTTTTCAGGCTCTGGCTTGCTTTCCTGTTGGAAGAAGCAGTAAGAGGGAAAGCCAGGGTCACAGTGCTGTAGTGAAGGACTAAGTTGATGAGTTAAAAGAAGGCTTATGATTTTTATAGTAATTTCCAAGAAACGCAGAGTTAACCTCTGAAAATGATCTTTTTAAGAAGATGTTAGCTGCTCAGACTAGTCAGACGATAGGGGGTAGCATTTCCTAATACACATGGTTCCCTTGGCAAAAAGAGATTTCTGGGGATGATGGAGCACAGTTACTTCTTCTACTGCATGACAGTACTGATTGTAGACTATGCTGTCCAGGAAAGACAACCTCCTGAAGGAGATAACTCCCTGAATTCCTGAAATGTGAGTTTGCGTATTATTTTTATTTAGACATGCTTTGGGTTTGGAGTCATGATTTTGTGTCAATTAAAAATACTTCCCTATATTTAATATTACTTGTGCATTTAATAGTGAAATTCCATCTTCATTTTCATCAATATAAGACTCCAATAGTCCCAACTTTGTTGTACATTTTTCCTGGCCCACACTTTTCCTGGCTTTGTACTCACATGATTTGTTTACACTGCAAACTAATTCAGTGGCTTGACCCCACTGAAAACTAAATAAGCAAAATAGCTTTTATGTGGATCAGCTGCTATTCCACCACTATCCTGTGGCCTGAAATTCTACTGAAAGTCCTAATTCCTTCAAATATAACACTTTCCTGAAGAAGAGAAACAGTGTTTATTTTGAGTAGCTTATGTAGTCCTAAAACAGTAAAATAGTGAAATTACAGGATTCTGAATATTTTATTTGATATTAAATTATTGTTGATGTTGTCTGAACACAATTGCAAGCATGGTGCTAAAATAAATTCAGATTAAATTGTTTTAATTAAAATGTTTCATTTTTTGAATATCATTTATGCTTCTCCTTTAAAAGATTTGTTGGTAAAGTCTAAATAAATTGTGTTGCTAAAAGGAAGCAACTGGTAATTTTGCTGTGTCCAGACCCTTAATTGTAAAGGTATCTTCTGATGTACCTGCACCATAATGAGCACTGTATAAATTGCATCATTTTTAGATCAGAGTATTTTTTCCCCCCAAGGTATTGCTTGCCAAGCCAAAGGCAAACATTATGTCCTTTTCTGTTGTTAATCCCAGACTTCAAAGAGTTGAAGATTCTTTCCAGTCTATCAATTAAACATAGAGTTTTTCCATTGTGGAAAAAAATGTAACAGGGCTGTTTCAAAAGCCTCTTGCCAGTAATGAGCTTTGGATTGGGTCGATGGAGAGGTAATCTGTAGAGCTACCAATGCAAGTCATCTCTGGGAAATTGCTGATTGTAGGCATGGCCTTTTTTCTTGAAGGGTGGTTCTTCCAAGATGCAAAAGTTACTTGTTCCAAGTGATTCTTGGCACCA